TACAAAATATTAAAATATGATCAGCAGCTACCTTTCTCATAGAGTTCCAGAACGAAAAGGAAGCAGCGGGCTCGCGCAGCTCCTTATATATAGTGTTCTAAATATAGCTCCAAGACTGGGCATGCGTATTGATACGCAGTTCTACTGATCGATAAATTAAGAAATGTGTCATTCATGTAAAATAAAAGAGTTTAATCTTGAATGATTAAACTTTGATATTATTTTCAAATGAATGCATAATAAAGAGAGTTCTGGAATAAGGTTGCTGGTTCGAACCCGAGAGGCCAAAATTTTAGAACTTTATATACAACGGTCGCAAATAGAAATACGTTATGTTAAATATCAGCCAAAAAGGGGCTCGAAGAATGAGAGTACCTTCCGCCAAAGCGGTTTAACATAACGACTTAACCCAGCCAGGTTGCAAAACTAAAAAAAATTAATATTATAAACATGATTTATATATAAAGATATATATACATGTAAACTTTAAGGAATTACTAACAACCAATACAGTCACTTAATCACATCGGGAAGATAGGACTGTTGAGTTTCCTGAATGAATAAATTGCTCCGGAAATACTATTCAGCATAAGGTCGTAACCAGTGGGCGACAAGTGTGTATCGTCGTACCTAAAGAACATTGGGGCGAGAGTTATATCCGGGTATTTTAGGTAGTGACCCCCGCCATTTATGACATAGGTGGCTATTGATCTGTTTATACGTTTTCTTGCTCGGTCAGCGTGATATACATCCGGCATATAACGCCATGATCGCCTTGGTAAAATCTGTGACCAAATTATTTTTGTATATGGAAACTTACTTCTAATATTATCTATAATTATTTTGAGATCCGCAATAATAGCAGCAGATGTTTTCAGGCCTTTATCATTGCCTCCACAATGAATAAGAATATAAGTCGGAGGATCATTCTTCTTAAAGGAAGTTAAGTAGGCTATACTTTGTTCGAGATCCTCGATTTTCATACCACCCATATGTTCCCATACAAGATTACCACCAATAGTTTTCCGTAACCCTAGATTAACGCCGTCTGGTCTTGTACACAGTCTCTGATATGCACCGCTTATAATGGAGGAACCAATTATCCAGACATTAAAGGAACCTGAAAATTTGGAGCTTAATCGTCAATATTTATGTATAGGAAACCGACAACGGTCTACCTATACAGTGATAGCAAATGATAGCAAATGTTACATTTAAGTTGCCAAAAGCGGATCGCCGACCAATAACAACCTTATATATGGCGTTTGAGTTAAGAACTTATACCATCAATCGATCTGGTATTATTATCATAATTATATTTGTCACATTATCATTATCATTCTGCAATCATATTATCATTTCGTCATTATATTTATCAACCTATCATTGCAACGACTATCATAATATTGTCGTTATCATCACGTAATCATTATCTTTATCAAATTATCATTAGTCTGAAATTATTATCATAACAACACAGACATTATGATATTATTGTCAAACAGTCATCATTATCTTTATCAAATTATCATTCATTTTCTGAAATTATTATCATAGCAACACAGACATTATGATGTTATTATCATCATGTCCTCATTATCTTTATCAAATTATCATTATTCTGAAGTCAGTATCATAACAACAAAAACATTATGGTGTTATCACCGTCATTTCATCTTTATCTTTATCACATTATCATTTCTATTGAGAAACCATTATTATAACAACACAAACATTATGATGTTATTATCATCATATCATCTTTATCTTTATCTTTATTATTTCATCTTTATCTTTATTATTTCATCATACAACTTTATCTTTATTATTTCATCATACAACTTTATCTTTATTATTTCATCATACAACTTTATCTTTATTATTTGGCATTTGGCAGATCCTTCACAATATCTTTATAATTTTGAAAAATTTGTAACTGCTATCACTTAACTAGTTTAACCTTCGGGACTCATATTATAAGACGTATTGTACGCATAATCACATCAGATAACACGTAAGCTATATATAAATAGAATCTAAATATAATATATATAAATTATATGCAAAACAAACATGAACTGGCGTGAAGAATTAAATAGTATGAACTACTTATTTATGTGATTAGCAAAAATGTGGTTAACCGACAACGGCTTCAGGAAAAAACCCACAGTATTGTCTGAAATTAACGAATATAAGACTTATAGGCATCAGACCTCCACCTGCCATTTGTTTTGATAGTTTCTATAAGACACCCATCTCTATACATCCCTGAAGCCCGCCCTATCCTAAAAGAATGAGACCTTATCTTGCTGTTATCCAGACCAATGAATTTAACAGCCTTTTTGAGAACAGCATTGAACTGGTAAGAAGTCAGAGGAGACCCATCAAAATGGCAAAAAAGGTGGTCAGTATTATTTTGGCACTGACGATAGTTAAGATAAGAGTGAATATTATCATAACAAAACTTGTTTTTTCCCTCAATTTCGATATCGAGAAATGTGCCACGACCTTTTTGATCAGTTTTCGAATGTTTCATGTATAAACTAATTTTGCCGAACCCATAGTAATGTCATGTATTGACAGGAAATGATTTGATGACCTCTTGTTGCGTGAAGTGAATTCACTCACTCTAAGGAGTGCAATATATGCGAGTGAAAATGCAGCTGAAAATAGCATGTACTCGTACTGAGAGCGACAGACACTTTGTAACGCTGAAATTAACTTTTTTAATATGTCATCTGTTACAGGCTGACGTGTATCATTAGACCCTCTTGTTCGTCTTAAACCTTCAAGCATACGTTTCACCTTAAACTTTTTTGTGTTATCAACCATATCGTGAAGCTTAGTGACATAACTTATAGCAGATATGTAGCTATTTATTGTCTTATAGGCGTACTGTTGCAAGGACATGAAAGCTATATATTCTGTTATCGGATGCACTGTTGGAGGCCATTGCAGTGATACGCCTATCATACTACAAAAGTTTGAGAATGAAGATATTGCAGTGTTATATTGTTTATGAGTATTTTCCGCCAATGATACATAAATAAGTCTATCTATTTCTGGCTGAAGAGACATAGAAAGGCCTTTGGTATACTGCATGGCTGTTTTGCTGCATTTTCTGGTAATTCCTGATACAGCCTTGCCCACTGAAAGCGACTTATAGAATCAGCGATTGTGTTTAACTTTGTGCTAACATGTTTACCTTTAAACTGAATATTATTTTGTAGTATGGAAAGCATTAAAGGTCTAATCAGATTCATAACTCGCTTGTTTTTTGACGATTTTTTATTCAAAATATGAACTAAAGACTCATTATCAGACCGAAACATAACCTTTTTGTTTTTCATTTCATTGCCCCATAACTCGAGAGCTAGAACAATAGGCACGAGTTCAAGATATGTAATGTCCTTAAAAATAAACTCCTCCAGTGGGCTGGCCACTTAAAGGCACACCACTGACCTTTAAAGTTGCAACCACAACCCAATTTTTTTGCCGGAGGCGTCAGTGTAGAGTTCAATAAATGTATTCTCTGACCAATTCTTCTCATTAAACATGGCGAGTCGTTAAATTCAGAAAGGAATGTGAGCCAGGTCATGGCGTCATCGCGCATGTCCCTGTTTACACGTATAAAATGAAAAGATTTTTTTAACCTTAGACATAGAATCATAAAATCTTCACAAGAAAGCTCTACCAGTAGGGATAGCCTTTGTGATAAAATTAAGTAAACCTACTATAGACTGAAGTTCCTTCAAAGTTATTTTTTTTGAAGATATAAGCCGCAAAAGTTCGTCTTTAGCTTTATTTATTTTTTTCTGAGGGTACGTGAATAGTTTGATTCTCCGCATTTATTTCAAGCCCCAAGTAAGTAATAGTTTTTAAAGGACCTTTCAACTTATCTGGACACAGAGGTACGCCAAGATCTGAACAAACGTGTTTGAATACATTAAAGAGTTCCAGACATGATTCAAAACTATCGTCTGCCATAAAAAAAATCATCTAAGAGATGAGTCAAATTATTTTTACCAGATTCTTTTTTAACAAGCCATTCTAAAAAAAGAAGCAAATTTTTCGAAAATAAAAACAGGCACAGGCGGAACCCTGAGGTAACATTTTTTGCACCCAGTAACCCAGATCTGATTTAATACCAAGTAAGTCAAAGTCACCTGGCCAGACAGGACACAAGTTAAAAGCTGATTTTATATCAGCTTTGCAACAGACTGCATTTTTTCCTATACGTTGAACAATTGATACTGCTTCGTCGAATTGTGCATACTTGACATGCCGATAATGTGGTTCGATAAATTCATTTACGCTGTTATTTGGCGGAAATGACAAATTTGTGATAAGTCTCCAGTCACCAGAGCGTTTTGGAACGAGCCCAACAGCATTAATTCGCAAATTTGAAATAGGTGGTTGCTTGAATGGTCCGACAATCCAGCCAAATGTTTTGTCCTCATATAATTTTTTATTTAAGACTCCTGGATTTTGTTTAGCTGACGCGAGATTATCCGAGAAAACTGGTGCTCTTGGACCAGTATAATTTAATTTAAACCCATGTTTAAATCCAGATAATATAAAAGAAGCATCGTTTATATTGTAACCTGTCAATTGTTTTTTTAAGGGTAATTATATTAATTGGTGTTAAACCTAGGCCCCATAAATCTTCTGTTTGAGGAGAACAAACTTGGTACTGGAACTGTGGGAACTGTGGGGGAGTTGCAGACTGAAACGATTAGGCCTAGTATTTAATCTCGAAGCATCTTGTGAATACGTAGGGCCCTGTCGTATCTGCTTACTATTAATTCTGCACTGTAATGCTGGGTGATTACCAGAGCATTTTATACACTTATGTGCAAAAGAACAATTTCTGTTGGCACAAAAGCCCTTATTATTAAAAGGAAAACACTTTTTCGAGAAAGGGGAGGTAATCGAAAGACCAACCGACTGAATTGGTTGCATGGACAACATCCAGAGTTCTGGATCGATTGTCTCCCATCTTAAAGATTCGATTTTTTCAGCCTAAAGCTAGAGTCGTAGGCGGCCCAACCAATATGCCTGGTTGCTGCCTGTCGTATGTTTGCCATATATTGTAGCAAATTGCCAATTTCATCAGGATGCTTTAGTATATATATAGCAATAAAGATATGGAAAGCATCTGTCCAAGATTCAATGTTTTCAATACTTTTGGGCGATTGTTCATTGGGACATAGGATCAGCTCACCATTTTCAAATTGTATTTTTTGTTTTCCTGCAGAATCTGGTTTAACTTTAGGAAGCAGATGCTGTAATTCTATATAATTATTGCACCATATTTTCTCTTTGATAGATTGAGAAACATGGGCGGACAAAATAATGTTAGATTGAAAATTTACTTCACCTGAAGTTGGGGAAGAGTCATCAATTTGTACAACTTCTTGCCGTGGGTTCGGATTCGAGCCAGGTGTCCTCTGTGCTTGTCGTCTTTTCTCATTTACAGCACTGGCCAGTCTCACAGTTTCGTCCGCACGTCGTTTGGGCATTTTGATCAAGAAAAAACAACAAATTGTCAGTCAATATAGATTTTAATGATCAATTCTTATGTTTATACTATATTGATAATAAGGAATAGTATAAATGTATAGCCTTTTCGGATAAACAAGGCCACGTGGTTATTTTCCCATTTCGTTTATTTAAAATTAAATCAAAACGAGATTTATAAAGATTTATATAAGAAGAGCACTTCAATAGTTAACGTTTCTTATGTTTATACTATTGATAATTTTGAAAAGTTATAACTGTATTGTCCCTTTCGGATAAATAGAGCCACGTGGTTATTTTCTATTTTCGTTCATTTAAAATTCAATCAAAAAACGAGATTTATAAAGATTGACATATAAAGAGCACTTAAATAGTTAACGTTTAAAAATAATAATTTAAACTTTACAATTAACATCCAAAAATTAAAACCTAATTTAAGATTTTTACAAAATATTAAAATATGATCAGCAGCTACCTTTCTCATAGAGTTCCAGAACGAAAAGGAAGCAGCGGGCTCGCGCAGCTCCTTATATATAGTGTTCTAAATATAGCTCTAAGACTGGGCATGCGTATTGATACGCAGTTCTACTGATCGATAAATTAAGAAATGTGTCATTCATGTAAAATAAAAAAGTTTAATCTTGAATGATTAAACTTTGATATTGAACTGGTAACGGGAGACTTTTCAATGAAAACAGCCATTTTTCACAAAATGTTCATGCGGTTATGGTTAAATACGAAGGGTGTTATTTTTTTGTTCTTTACTTTATGTGGTAAAATGTGTTACCATAGCATATAAAATCTTTCATTGATATCTAAATAATTTGATTTATGGTTCATATTACGTTTTATTAACCTAAAAGCTTAAGGAATCTAAAATGACATATTTGAGTCATAGTCGAAATACAAGATACATATATCATTGGTACATTATTGTCCAATTCTGATTAATTTAATACTTTTATACATCAATAATTTTTAGCGAGCACATGTACATGACTTACTTGAACATGTATTAAGTAAAGGTATACATATAATATATTAAATAAACACGGTCCAACTGAAAAAAGCAAAATTACTCGGAAATTGCAGCCTCGGTTTGATTGAGTCTGTTCTTGAAGGATAACAGCAACATGCAACATTTATTCGTCATACCCCTAGCACCTCCAAAAGTGAAATTCAATCTTCAACACTGAATGTGCAGATATTGATTATCCCGAAGAACCAGAAAATTTAACAACACTGATGTGAAGTACGGGGCATTTTTGTACAGTTGCCTCACGCCATTTTTTTGCAAATTGTAAATAGAAATAACAAATTACACGCACATATATATAATTACATATCCGTTGGACAAATCAAATGAAATATACTGTCAGTCTGAATGCGAATACTCCAACCAGACATGCGGAAATTTCGATTAAGCGAATATTGCTTTAAGAGAGAGAGGCCGTCTCGTATTGATTTGACAGAAATATATAATAGCACCTTACACTTTTGATTACTATAATTCCTAGACCTTTTGGATGCAATTAATCTGACAAAATATTCCCATGCGTCTAGAATATGGGTAAGATGAACCTTAAATTTCGTGAAACACAACTCATTCTTACAGAAACAGCTTCCAGACGATAGATGTAAATTCTAAGAACAATCCACGCTACTTAGCAAGGGCTTGAGCAAAACACAGTATTTCAAAAAGAATACGGTACAGATAGAATGAAGGTAATACTGCAAACGTAATGGAACATTGTGATAAATTTTTGAAGACAAATAACATTAATGCTATATAATTTAAATATTACGATTACGAATTTTATTATTGCTAAAATTTGTATGATATACTTTACATACCGCAAATTAAATATCGATTAAATTCCAGCAACAAGAACTATAAAAGTTCTAGTACTTGATATTACGCAAACTTGAAAAGAATTTATAATTGCACGCTTTAAATGTATTCAATAAAACACTCTAATTTAAGTCAAACCCTGTGTTTAAATTATTGCAAATGATGACATATAAATTTCGATTTTAAATAACATCGAGTGTCTTAAATTAAACCATGGCCTTAATGTCAACACAATTTCAGTCACATTTGTTTAACAATGTTTAATGCTCCAAATTCTCGTGAAATGTCCATTAAGAAATTTCATTTCATTGTTTAAAACACAAAAATAAATTTAATGTTTATTTATTCAGCAAAAATGTTCCGATTATTAATAAAATAAAGGATTTCAAACTTGCACTGCCAAATTATTGAGTAAACAAATATATGCTGGCCACATCATGATTTAACATCATGATTTAAAATAATGCAAACTAAGTGTTTTTCATTTTGCCGACTTGTCAAATTGTTATGTTTCTGGTATTGATATTCATTCTGGGCGTAATGCCAGAACAGTATGTGGAAAGAGTTGAAAATATTTTTGTCTTTTCTAAGGAGATTTCTAATCTGTGATACAGCCATCTGGGTTAAGACAAAACGCATACTAGACAACCACTTGTTATTTGGTGAAATACGCATGGAAATCAAAATCAGCCAGGTTGTGATGTTGAATCAGGATTATTTGTGAACAGTATACCACAGAAATGTTCATCAAATAGCATCTTCTTAGGCAGATATATCCTTTTTTTTACTTTCTTATAATCTTTAATGGCACATATAAAGAACATATCATAATTATGTCAAATTAGATTTGTATTGAATTGAAATAAACTATATATTTTAAATGCAAACAAGATAGTAAAAGTGTCCTTACAGACCCGGTACATAAAGTTTTCGATTTTGAAAAGAAAAGAGGAAAACAAATTAAACAAATTATTAAATAGTAGTTTGCCTGTTTAGCAACAAAATAAAATATGTTGAACAATAAGCAAATTTATGATCACGGGAAAAACACATGTTTTGCATCTTTGTCGTGTGTCTTTGATTAAATATATCCTTTTTTGTAAAGAACACATTTTATTTATGTTGTGCTATGGAAATATAGTCTGCACATGTGAGAAAATGAAAGGAGATACATCTCCCACGCTCCATACTGCATGCTTTGGGTTTCATAGCTTTTGTTCTCTTATAAAATCTAATTGTGTCATATGTTTTACAGAAGTCCTTAAACGCGATGATAATATTCATTATATAAAGTCAAAGGCAACGATCAGCCCACAGTGAATGTACATACTTCAGAAATCTAAAGGTAAACTAATTCTTGGAGTTAATCAGAGTTACCAAGTGACTTCTGGTAAGGCTTAATAATCGGTATTAAAATGACAGGCGCGAGACAGAAACATAAAAATAAATAATGATTATCTGATATAAGATTATTTAACAATGACAATAATGGAACTGATATATAACAATATAGATCTTATCATTGAATCTACTTTCTTTCTTTCTCATATTATTTTCTTCAATAAAATGATAAAATAGTAACAAAAAGCTTGATAAATTACGACTAGACAGTCCCGCAAAATGCCTTTCTATATGAAACATATCATTTTCTACTTACAAATGTAACATTAGGACTTAAGTCTATCGCACATACTATCCAATTTGCTTTCGAAGAAATATATATGTCTATGAGACCTACCCATCCACTAACTATAATAATAAGACTATAAAATAATTACAGTCCATTGTTAGATAACGTACGTACTGTCTGCGCTTTCGTTTGCTCTTTTTATATAGAAGATAAACTTATCATTTTAAGGTATTAGCACCCTAATGCATTACCTCTGCTTTGAAGAGTATTCAAATAGGCTAGAACTACTGTTAACTACATTGAAAATGAGGGCCATGGGTTCAATCCCCAGAAGTGTCAACTTTTTTTTCTTTCTTTTTTTTCTTTTAACATTATTTATGTATCTCTCATGTCCCATTTGGAAAGAAAAAAGTGTTTAGTTTTGATTTTTTAATTTATATAGGTATTTATTGGCTAAATTATGCTAAATATAGTAATAAATATGGTACCTGATATTTTCAAAGTGTAATATAATCAAAACTAGACGGTAAAAGTATTTCATATTTTACAAGATCAACCAATATACTTTTTTAAAAATTTAGGGAAACTTTGAAAACAGGCGCTCATTTGGGTAAATTTTAAGAATTTTTTTTAAATAGGCTCCCTAAGTAGAAAAATGGTCAGAAACGTGGTAAAAATGGGTGGGGTAGGGTAACATTTTTATACAGATTTCATAAATTTTAAGTAGAAACCATAATTTTGCTTATTTGGATTGGTAGCTGAATGGTACTATTTGTTTCTTACCAAAAATTAATGGGAAAACATTTTTCATTAGAATGTTATTGCAGATTATTTAAAGGTTCCTACTTTCTAAAAAAGGGCCCTCATTACATCCTAGCTTGAGTTCAGAAAAGTGACCATAACTTGATTTCCGTACGGTAAACTTTGTTTAAATTTTGCATACAGGTGTACTTTAAGGTATACATCTGACTTATGATGTCAATTTTTTAGTTCCTGATAGTGCCCATTAGGGTCCTAATACCTTAAGGCACATTATGCTCTAGAAATATTTTTATTGTATTTTTCGAAAGCTTTTTATATTTAGTTTCATGTTTCGTGTTACCAAAATGTAACTCATTTACCAATCAGCTTAATTATATTTCGTTCCTGTTGCTCTTTCGGTAAGAGTACATTTATTGTGATTTAATAGTCAAAATACTACTTTCTACATTTTGCACCTTTTATGACAAATAATGTCACATTCTTTATTTTAAAGAATTAACACCAATTAGCGGGAAATCCATTATTTAAATATTATTATCTCGGGGTTGTCCTTTCTAATTGTATTCGTTTCTGACGCAAATTGTGCCTTTAATCATTGTTTTATCTTCAAATATAGTACTTATTTAATATCTAAAGTGCATTATTACTCTATGTTGTCACTCTTGACAAAATATCTGATTGAAATTGACAAAAATTTCAATGTAAAAGAACAATATCAATTGTACACGGAAAAATCTGCTAGCGCGATGCTTTTAAACATTGAACAT